GGGTTGGAGTCTTTCTGCAGGCTATGAACAATGTGCGTACAGTAATATTACATGCGTGTTTTGGACGGTGCGTTGCTCAAATCCGCCTATAAGCGACGGAGTGAGCAGTTTCGCACATTTACAACGCATTCCATGATGTGAAACATGGCCATACAATTTTTGGCACTTCTTGAGCCATTGGTCTATCCAGTAGGCGGTGCAGTAGGCTACTTAAATGGCCATGTAACATGTATGAGAAGGACTTTTGTCAAAGGGGTGATTGGAGCGGACCTTTGGCTTTAGCAGGGTGCCAAGGCTTTGTGTTACTGCACACAATCAATGTTAACATATCCATTGCCAAGTGCACACTACATCTACATCAGTGCATTCACGCATATAATATATGCATGCCTGAGAAGCAAACGCCGGACAGCAACTCCGTCTTTCCTGGTTAGTATGGCCCATCATTCTTCTGATTCATCGAGCTGCCCCTTTTTGCCGGCCGGCCAGCGCCCATCGCGCGCGCCCCAAATGCCCCCCCAATTACCGGCCGTTCGACCTAGGCAGCCTGGGGGATTGGCCCAAGCTCGCTCACTAATTAGTATTGATGGCTCCAACCTAATAGCGATGGCCTCCACCCTAAGCCTAGTAGATCCTAGTAGCGATGGCCTCCAACCTAATAGGAATGGCCTCCACCTACTAATGCCGATCAACCTTGGCAAGACAGACGGACATGACCATCCGAAACCCCTCTTCGATTGCACCACATCTCGCCCCGCGACATGCGCGACCGGCACGAGCTGCGGCAGGTCATCAACCTTTGTGCGAGTGAGTGGGGGCCCTGTTAACCCGATGAGTGAGGAACTGTGAACTGTGAGCTGCGCCTGGATTCATTGCGCTGTCGCCGACGGAGAGAGGACGGAGTCTGAGAAAGAGATTGAATTGAACGGGGCGAAAAGCGGAGTGGGGCACACCAGTGGCCTATGTGAGTTGGTATGCCTTTCAAGATCTAGAGCTGCAAGGAAAGGGATGTTGAAACCATTCACAAAATCTTGCAGCATCATTTCCAACCTTTAGATCTATCCTCTCTCTTAAGAATAAGGTCCGAAGTGTAAAATATGGCATGGCCCCTGGAAAGACCATGCCATCCGAATACCAAACAGTGGGTGAACTTCACTTCCATGTTTGTTGCAGGTAGGGTGGCTATTGGACATTGAATCTCTCCCGAATTAGGCCGACAGTGGCTTGACCCTCACACCTCACACCCTGCTGAGGCCAAGATGCCTTTGCTTGTTGCATCGCTCCTGTTTCTTGAACCTTGCTTGGAGCTACCTGAGCCAGCGGGGTGGGTGTGCTGCACGGGAATCCGCTGTTTGAAATGAATCCTGTGAGAAAGTTTCGGTGGGCAAAATCACCAAGCATCAGTTGAAGAGGCCTTTTCAGGGGATTTCCATGGATTTCCTATTTTGCACGGTAGTGACATCACAATAAGTCACAAGACAATTCATTTGACTAAATACATGATTCGATTCATTTGACAAACATGCCCTTGCTAGTTCCACAAATCAGGCTCACTACCGCTATTGGCCTGGCTGCTATGGTCCGCTCAGTTCGCATGGACTTTTGGTAGGTGATTTCTCTATTCAACGACTTGGTCCCCGATTTCCACTCGAGTAGGGGCTCTTCTGTGACACTCGTGGTGGAAAGAAGGTCCTCAAAAAGCAAGTCCACCAGCTGTGAGAGGATGATGGAGGCCCCAATGACTTGTGACCGTTCAACCAGGAAGTGTAGACGTCACAAGACTGGTGAATGGACTGGTTTCCAACCCAACCAGACCACAAATAGTGGGTATTTGGTTCCTGGTGAAGTGAAAAAAGCCTTGAATCAAAGCACAGATGCCTGGCAAACAACCGCTGCCAGATGTGCTGTGCCTAGGAATCCGCAGTACGAGATGTCGGACAACTTCAGGCGTTTGGGCGGGAGATCCGCCTTCCCGGTCGGATCGCCAGTCCGGTCGGGCTGTCTTAGGGAAGAATTCCGGGTCGTTCGACCTGGCTGGGTCTTAGGGGAAGAGAAAGCTCGGCCTTTTTTTCCCAAATCCTCGATCCACACGAGCATGTGGGCCTTTCGTGGAACGAAGGTGTGCTCCAGACCATTTTTCTGGGGGGCAAACCTTCTTCTTGAGGGCTGAAGTTCGCGACCATGAAGAGACAGCGACCACGAAGAGTTTGGGATTGGCAGGCCAGGTGCTATACTTCTAGCATGGCATGGAATCCCAGTTAACGACTGTCCAATTCACCCACCCTTCCCATGACAACCCGCCGAAAACCCAGGCGCTGCATGATCTGCAAGAAGCCGGCAGATCCTGCGATCGTGCGACTGGCGGTGCAAGCCAGAAAGCTGGGAGACCTAAGATCAGTCGCCGCGCGGCGATCGCCGCATGATCCGACAACGGATGGGACTGGGACCATCGGTACAACATCAACCCTTGCTTGGAGTGTATTGCAGAACTCAGTCAGGGCCAGCCTAGTTAGTTGCAAAACATCATTCTGATATTCTGATATTTCATAATGAGGCAAGTGCTTTAAGTGATGGATGTGGATGGATGACTTAAGTCAAGAGACTCATCCTTTGCAGTAGGTGCTCAATATGGACCCTTGTTGATGCAGGCTGCGCAGCCCCAGGACGACCGATCTACCAAAGATTCCTTGCACCAGCAGGAGCGATGTGTGTCTATGAGTCTATATGAACATTTCCCGAGTCCTTGATTGGACTGTCCCATATAGACAGAAAACATCATACATATTCCGATGATGCATAATGACATGACTTGACAAAACCCGAAGCACATGAATTCCAAAAACCAGCATTGGTTGCTGCAACGCTTTGGCCCTTCGGAACTGTCAACCGCTTGGCCCAGGCGACCCTTGGGCACGCGATGAGGCGACCAAGGGTTCGGCTTTGGCGCCTCCTTTGGGCTTTGGGTGGCATCTATAGGACTAGAACTTGACCCTGCTATTTTAAGTTGCACCTCCTAGACCTCAAAGGCCGCCCCTTGGGTTTATACAAGGAGGCGATTATATACTTTTTACTATGACACTCTGTCAGAGACTGAACCGGTTAGACATCTAATAGACCTGACCCGTCAAAAGACAGAGACCTAACCCAAAGACACGGGCGGTCCAGCAGCCTGCAGACGGGCGGCTCGATCCGATCCGGTGGAACATGCTGGGACCAGAGGATCTGGTTGAAGCGACAAGCTATGAGCTATGAGCTATATATAGTCCTGAGTCTCTAGTACTCAATGATGAGCTATTTGTATGAGCTATTGGTCTACTCAATTATGGTCCAAAAGTCCTGAGATCAAGACCTGCAGACCTGCATGTCGACATGATGGAATTGGGATAGCCCAAAGACCTGCAGTGAGTCCCTGCCAATCAAAGATGCTATGGAAAGCACATGGAATCACGGAAACATAGTTTCTGTTTGAAGCATACTGTATGACTTGACACACCATTTGAAGGTGCATTCTCTTCCACGGCAGAACGTTCAGCCCCCGTTGGCAGGGTGGATGCAAGTTGCAGCAGCCTCGGCCGCCACTGGCCTTTTTGCCCGCCGTCACTGGCATCGCGCCGTTGCGCGAAACCAGAAACCTGTTTAGTGCATCAAAAAGAGAGCCGGCAAGGTGAAACACCTGTATGACCTGCAAAGAGCAACCCAAGAACCCATCTCACTGACATAGTCCAACGGGCGGCCACTGTTGATCCGTTAATGCCGTGGAGAAGCCACACTGTTCGCCAAATGCACAAGTTTGTTCCATGTGACTAATTACTAATTACTGTATAGTTACTATAGTTCTTTTGGCCAGACAAGAGTGCATCCAAGCCAGTCGGTTTGCGGGCACCGTTGTAAGCAGGGCAACAGGGTCACCGGGTCAGGCGAGACCGGGACTGTCAGCCGCCCCAGCCAGACCCCGATTCGACCACCCCTGGCCTGATCGGTAAATATGACAGTCCCATTCGTCGCATCTGGGATATAGTTCTGTTTGGAAAAGCGAGGGCTTGGGAGAAGGACAGTGGAAGGAGAAGGGCAAGTAAAGACATTGTATCACATACGACTTGGAGGAGTGACGTTCCTTTTTTGGCCCCAAGTTGTCCCATCACGGCTCAAGTCTCGCCGGCGGAGCTTCTTGAGCTTCAGTGGCCCACTGGGCCACTGGGCCGGAAACGGCCCAACCCGGTCTGCTGTTGGGGCGCCCGAACTGGTTCGGGGCGCCAAGGTCATCCCCCAGGCCCAGAAGATTGGAGATGGTCAGGAAACTGCGGCACCCAAACAAAGGTCATTAATTGGTCACGTGGATGAGCAGCAACAGCAAAACCACAACGAGAAATACAAGAAGAAGAAAACACGCTGCTAGCTGCTAGCTACAGCTACTACTGCTGCTACCGCCACCGCCACCACCACCACTACCACTACCACCACTACTACCACCACCACTACTACCACTACCTCTACAACAATAACAACTACTACTGCCGTTGCTAGCACCTTGTTCTTCTTAAACGTCAGTTACGGAACCCGTCGCGCGGAGCATGAGTTCCGTGACGTGTCTTTGTTCGGTGCGGCTGCCTACACCGCGGCCAGCGGCCCGCGGGCGCCGGAGAGTGAATCACAGGTGCAGCTCGATCCGGATTGAGGGAGAGAGATGGGGAAGGGAAAGGCAATGGTCCTGTCCACATGGTCCAATATGTTCAAGTGATTTGAAACCAACCAGTGAATTTGGCCGACTTTCACTCAGTTCTTCCTCATGAGATTTCATACCACATGATCCAAGAATAGCCATCCTCAGCACGGCAGGTGTCGACCGACAGACCTGCCACATGTGCAGGAGACCTCAGGGATTTGATTTGTCACATGCGAGCATGGAGCACCTGTCCATGCGCCCTTTTTGGTTCCAAAGCATCGGGCTCTCGCCAGCGCCATTTTTGCGCTGGCACTGCTGAGCTCGCGTTCGTGCAGCCATGGGCTGCGCGGCGAGCTCATCGACACCTTTGGAGCAGATGGACTCAGAGGTTGGGCAAGAAGTCCGCGGGGATGGGGCAAGAGAAATCCACCACGGTTGCATGAATACCAGGACCCCAGTCAGGACCCTCTGACCTCTAAGGGGTGGTTAAGGGATCGGCCCTGGTATATGCCCCCGTGTTGATCGTGTTTTGAGAGCTGCAGGCGCCTCGTCCATTCCAACCAGGAATATGACGGGGACTTGGAGCTGGATTGAACAGCGTGCGTGGGCTTTTCAGTTCCCCTGCTACCCCGAAGAGTACCCCCTGGGGCGTGAGGCCATTTGATGTGAGGCAATTCATGTGGAGGAACGAGTTTTCGATGGGTAGCCAGTGACTATCAGTGACTTCATTCTCACCACCAGATCTTCACTGAAGAGACGTTAGCGATGGCCTCCACCCTTACTAGGCGATGGCCTCAACCCTAAGATGCTGGTTGATGCGGTGCTGAATGGTGATGATTTGCTGAACGAACGATGCGGTTCAGCGTGGAGGGTCAAGCACTTACAACATCACGTGGCAGGGTTGCTCATGAGGTTCGCAGGCCCGATATTGGTTTTTAAGCAAGCTCTTTCATCCTGCAGACCTGGACGTTTTGGTACCACTACCACAAGGCCCAAAAGGTATAGGCCAGACAGACCCGAAGAGGCTTTGAAACTCATTATTGCGACTAGCCTGAGGAAGAAGTACAGTTCAAGGTCATTCTCCAGGGCAAAACCTTGACCAACCATACAGTATGGGCCATTCGCTCAAGATGATTCTCAGTGTTAAGTTGATCGGATTGATCAGACGACCACATCATCTCGGACTCCACAGCTCCTGAAAGGACTCCATGTTGGGGAGCAGGTGAGGCCAGTGATGAGGATGCCCCACATGTCCAAATGTTGGTGACAAGCATACAGTTTTGCAGTGTTCATTTTTCTTAAAGGACAAGCATGGGGACGAGCATGGAAGATCCTACAAGGGAATACCATATGGAATGCTGTGCTAAGGTTGTATGAGTACATAAGTTCTTTGGAGATCCATGGCCGGTAAAAACTACAGCCAATTTCTTTGGAATCATAGGAATTCAGGCGTGGCACGCCAATAACAAGCTCAATCAGGACCTACCAGCACCCTCCAACAGGTCTCCGAAATGGAGGGTTGGGAAAGGCCCTAAAAGGTCTCAATTGGTAGACCTGTTGGAGGGTGCTGGTATACATCATGTAGGTGCAATCTCTGAAATTCACTCCACGTGGTCTCAACCAAGTGATTTGGTCTTAACCATCGACCTCTTCAGGTTTGGGTCACGATCCCCCCCCCCACACCGGTTTTCCCGCGGCGACACCGACGCCTCGTATCCACCTCGTCAGGCCTCCTTTGATGTCTACACCTGGCGGCACTTACCGAGGGATCAGATGGGCCCGCCAAACCGGAAGTTGCATGAGAGCCTTGGTTGCATGAGATGGCGGCGGCAGCAGCCGCACGACGGTCGCGTCGCAGGGCTTGGCCTCACGTGGCCACGCAGTCGCGGCGTTTTTCGAAGGAAAACGACGAGGGAGACGGACTTGGAGCACCCCGTTGACATGGCCTGCGCAGCAGCCGAAAGGCCGGAAATGAGCTTCCGGGAAACAAGTATAGATGGCTTCACGGTTAGGGTATGAGGGCAACTTGAGCCGAAACGCTTTGGTCAAAGAGTCTAAGACACCAGTTGCAGAGTTTTGGTCTCAGTAGTGGTCTCAGTCTGCTCCTGAGGAAGCACCGCGTGAAGCTGCATCTGTTTCTACTGGAAGTCAGTGATCAGCCACAGAAGTTCTCAGAGATCGTGGAGCAAAGGCGCGGGCTCACGGAGGAACAAATCATTTGTGTGAGCGTCTGAAGGGCTTTGCTTTTGGGGCGGGGCCTTCCCAAGGCAGTTTAGCCAACCAGGTCCGAGTCAGATGCCAAAACATTCGCATGTCAAACATCAAGGCATTTCTTTTTGGTTCGGTTCAGATGGGCCTCTCGAGTCTTTGATCTTCTAGGGCTTGAAATCCATCGGTTTGCTCCTCGTATGCCTACATTGACCACTAAAACCACCTCAATGTATAGGTAAATATGGCATACATGGAGTGTCTGGGTATCGAGACGAAGGTGTGCTTTTTGCTTTGTTGGAACCCGCCCATCGGCTGAAGTTGGATTCCGCCCGTGTATGACCGGATGATACCGGATGGCCCGCCCATTCGTACGTCGGCACCGTGGATGCCGGATCACAAGCTCGGCAATGTCTCTTGGCCTCGAGCAAATGAAAACCCTGTGACGTGCGACTTGGCGATGGAACATGGATAAAGAGGGAAAAAGACGGAACATGATTGTATACCTAAGATATATAAATACATGTAAGAACCTGAGTCTGAGTGATCTCTATTTGGTATCACCAATCACCAGCCAGCCAAAATACGGTCTTGTCCAAACAGATATCAACTGGGCTCTAGGACTCTAGGTGCACTAGGAGTATGTACAAAACCATGCATGGGGGTCCTCACAAGACCCACCAGAGTCGACCAATGTCTACCTGAGGGGACGCCACCATGGCAAGGAGACGCCCTCCAGAGGTAGCAAGGGACCCAATCATCCCAATCTTCAGTCGCCCAAAACCAATTGGAGTCTCCCTGTGAAATGTGATAATATAAAGACATGGAAGTGGAGTTCACCCCCTGTTTGCAGAGGAGCTAAGGGGTTTTTTCTAGGGGCCATGCCATCCACATTGCCATCCACTTCCATGATTGTTGGAGGGAGGGTAACCACTGCGTTTTGGGAGGCCTTTCTGGGGGCAGCAAGTAGAACTTCCAGCCTCGAATAGCCTCGAGAATGAAAGCCATTGCCGGGACATGACAACATTGATTCATCCTTTCGACTGCTGGCCTGAATTCTTACCCTCGAGGTCGACCTTGGATGGAGATGATCCAACGCCCCGACTAACCCCAAAATCCAAAAAACGTCAATGTCAAACCGCAGAGTCACAGATTTCAGAGGTGTTTTGGATCCTCGCTGGGGGCGTGCACTATCCGCCTGTGGTGGAGTCGAGCGAGTACTCGCCGTGTCATGCCGCGATCATCCATCATGCCTATAGGTGGACGTGCAAGGTGTCCACCAGTATAGGACTGTCCAAGGATTCCATTTCGTCAGGCAGAACCGGGTCATTCAAGATATTCAAGGCCTTCAAAAGTGTCGAACTGTGTCGAAACAAACAGAAACGTAAATGGTAAGTGTTTGATTTGGAGTCTCCGTAATTCGATAATGGACTTCGTCAAGCAGAAATGGTGTGAGTGTCTCATTGTTTCATATTGTTTCGGTCTCCGTGAAAACGTATTTTGGACAATTTTTGCTTGTTACCCCTAGGGCTCCAACCACCTGAGGAGATGGTTGGAGCCCTCGGGTGCACAAGAAGTCGCGAAGAAGTCGGACTCGCAGCGATGTCGTCGACATGATCGACATGATCTTATGACCTCATGATTAATCACAGAGTCGGTAATAATTTTCACCGTAGCATTGGGGCTTAAGAGAGTGAATGGGAAGGGAGGGGGTAAGACCCCTCCCAGTCTGCGAAAGGTGCCGGCACTTCCTCTGCCGTGAAGAGGGAGTGGGCACCTGCGGGCCTTGCAGAAAGGCCTACCAGCTTTCAGTCTCGGTCCGGAACGTGATTCCAGCGGATCGGGACGAAAGCGCGGTTGTCTTCTACGAGGGCTGCTTTGGGCTCCTACAAGACTGGCTGAAGGAAATCAAAAGCCTGGACGAGCGCAAGAAAGCCCACCGTGAAGACAAGCCCCGTGCGACAGAGAAGCCCTCAGACAAGCCCGAACGAGTAGAAGAAGGAAGCAAGAAGCCCGAATCTCGAACAGCCAGCCGACCATCCGAACCCTCCACTAGGCCAACCGATAGTCCCAAGAACCAACCTCTCAGACCAGATAGCCATCCATCCAGTTCCGCCCGGCCGAGTGGCAAACTTCCCCTGCCACCGCCTCCTCCAGTTCCAGAGCCACCCCAGGGGAGCAGAACCAAGAGTTATAGCTCCCAGACAGTTCTGGTGCCCAGGCCTAGCCACAGAGATCCAGACCCGCCAGTTGAACGATCCACCAAGCCAGAGACCGCTTCGCCCAAGGACGCTCGTGTGGAGCCTGCTTTAGCCACAGAAGGAGCAGGTGACCGTGCAGAGGCGTTGAGGTCCAAGAGAAGCAGATCCAGGAGAAGACGGAGAAGGGAGAGATCCAACTCATCTCCCAGTTCGAAGGGACGAGAGAGGAGAAGGAGGAGGCGAGATCGCAGTGACAAGAAAGAGAAGGGCCGCAGGAGGCGAAAGTCAGCATCCGGGAGCACATCAGTGACCGGGTCACGTGTGCGGGAAGCTAAGCGATCCGAGGCACCGAAACCAGCCCCTCCAGTCCGTCCACCGAGCCCGCATACGCCACCCGGGCCTCCGCCAGCACCCCCTCCAGTGCAGCGGCCTCCGACCAGGACACCCCCGGTGAAGAATCAGGGACGTCCGGTGGCACGCCAAGGCCCGGGCTGGATAGGCCGAGTCCCCTGGTCAAACCACCCCAGGTGGTGGGCTGGCAAGAATAAGGGAGTGACCCGAAGGGCGAAACAGGAGCTCTTCAACAGGAGGCGGTGATGCCCCCACGCGCTCGACCCGCCACCAGAGCGCCAGCCCTCCGGAAGAGACCTTCCAGGGCTGAAGATCCAGATGCAAAAGTCACCCGCCTACACCATTTCAAAGAGTTGGCCGCGGTGCAGCTTCGGACTCTAGGCCTTGTGGAACTTGCTCAAGCTTCCTACTATGAAGGGCACGTGAAGCTAGCCGGCTTTGTGGAGGGGATCGGAAAGGACGAAGGGTACCTGACCTTTCGTGCAACAGGAACTCAGTCGGACCACATGACGGAGCTCTTGTCAGATCCCCAGAAGCGTGTGTTTCAGCTGCACGTTTGTGAGCCGGACTGTGGAAGACGTGAGTCAGGCCCAGACGTCATCCATGCGGCTGGATATTGGCTGGTTGAGGGCGATAAGAAGGCCTGGCAGACCATGTATGAGGAGGAGATGAGAAAGCCTGAGGCTGAAGATGAGATGAGCAAACTTCGTCAGCTGCATGAGAGGCAGAAGAAGGAAGTGGCAGGGGAGGCTGAGCCTCCCAGTGAGGAGAGTCAAAAGAAGGTAAAGAAGAAGAAAAAGAAGTTGAAAGAAAAGGAGAAGAAGTTGAGCAAGCCTTCATCAAAGCAGGAGGAGATCGCTGGCGAGCAAGAGGCGGCAGACCTTGAGCGTGGGCAGAAGACCTTGAAGGCCATCTTCGGGGGCACATGCCTTGACCCCGAAGTGAGCTCACGCATGAAGTTGTTGAAGCGGGCCAGAAGGTTTAGCAACAAAGGGTCCAAGAAGAGAAAGCGATCAAGTGAAGATGACGGCAGTAGCTCATCATCCTCGAGCAGCAGTGGTGACGAGGAGATGGAGGAAGGACTTTTTGAGGAGCGAAAAAAGGCACTGAGGCTGACAAGGAGATTCCCTGGCAGCTTAGCTTCTCAGACGATCGGCAATATGAAAGAAGCAATGCTGACGTCTGCAGGGACACTTCATTCGCAAGACAAGAAGAGCCTCCCGCCTCTTTTTTCGCAATACTTTAGGTCCGAACTCCAGGGCCTCTGCGGACCATCCATGTGCCAAGAACTGTTGACGCTGTGTCAAGGCGCTGACCTACTCCTACAAGGTCATATAGCTCGCACAGTGGACCTACTGGCGCAGAGGGTGAAGGCGCAGGAGCAGCAAGCTAGGGGCGGTCACTGGTCAGTGGCCCGGCAACTTGAGCTGGTCTCGGCTGATGCTGCAGGCCTGAGCCAAGGGCCCGAGTCGGCTGAGGCTGCGCGCAATGCAAGGGAGGAGCTTCGCAACAGGATGGCCTCCCAGAGACCCTATGGATCTGCAGGACGGGATCGAGGTGAAGTTCCAAGTGGCAAGGGAAAGGATCGCTATGTCCCCCTCAACGAAAAAGGAAAAGGTGAGAAGGGGAAGAAAGGAAAAGGGAAAAGCAAGCAGAAGGAATGATGATGTCATCATCAGTGCAAGGAAGCGTTGAGGAAGGGACAAGAGGAAGTCTGGGAGGAGCTGAGAGGCAAAGGAAGCTGGATGAGGCTAGAGAGGCAGAGAAGGGCATAGAGGTTGGTGAAGAGGAGGAAGCAATGGCTGTTGAAAAGTTGATAGAGGATTGTTGCGAGAAGGGCTTGAAGCAGAGAGGGCTTGAGAGGAAGAGGCAGCGAACAGACAGAGGGCTTGACGAAGAGTTGAAAGGGGAGCTGTGCAGCTCCCAGTGTGATGTCAGAGGACGCATTACATTGGGGCTGCCCGTTGAGCGTGCATTGACGTTGGTTGAAGAGGATTTTTCAAAAGGGGAGCATGACTCCCAGTGCTCTGGTCGTGAGATGATAGTCGGCCACAGGGCATCGGGAGGAGGTGCTTCTACAGGACATGCCTCCTTGCCTTCGGGCAAGTTGAGAAGGACGGTGCTGGACACAAGCAGACGGCAGGCATTTGAGGAGTGTCGTCTAAACCTTGCTACAGCCTGTCGAAAAAAGGGGTTGACTTTTGAGGAGTTGGGAAGGGTGCTTCTAGAGGCGTTGAAGGTGCAAGAGCAGGCCTACGCGCGTTGCAGCGAGACCAAAGGGGACCTTTTCCCCCTGCCCCTTCCATCGTCTCTGAAGCTAGGTGTTTCCCAGGGTGGTTGTGCAGATGCATTAGTGCAAGCATTGAATTCATTGTATGGGACACGGACCATTGAAAGGTTGAGAGAGGACAGAACGCGGTTGAATATTGTTGAGAGGCTGTCGAAGGTGGTTGACGATTCTGAATTGACGAAGTGTGAAGTACCAGACCTCGACTTTGGGGAGTTCTTCAAAGCACGGTCGGTAGACTATTCCGGTGAGATCGTTCAAGTCGCCCGTCGATTTGACTGGCGCATGGTGGAAGCAGCATTCCCTGAAGCTGTAGGCAGTCTAGAGCTTGAACATTTCTGCGAAGGGGGGACTCTGGCATATGTGAAGAATTTTGAGGACTTCCTCCTTCCGCCTCAGGACCAACATTTGGGGAAGACTCCAAGCATCATGGTGGAGGCCTGCCACTGGGCTGAGGTTTGTTCGGGGCTGGTTCGTCGGGGCGTTTGTCGACTTATGCACGTCAGTCAGCTTCACCATATAGGAGGGCGCCCTTTACTGAACGGACTGTTTGCCGTCAGCAAGCAGGAGCAGGCCACTGATGCTCATGGGAACGTCTTTGAGGTCTGTAGGCTCATTATGAACCTCGTGCCGACTAACGCTTGCTGTAGAAGCCTAGTTGGAGACACCTCAACTCTTCCGAGCGTGATAGGCATGTCATCGATCGTTCTCGAAGATAGCCAACTATTGGTGACCTCATCGGAAGACATCAGGTGTTTCTTTTACTTGTTCCGGACAACATCCAGCTGGTGGAAGTACATGGGGTTTGGACGGGAGGTACCTAGTGAGGCCCTCCCAAAAGGCTATACAGGAGGTGGATGGCACTTAGTCACACAGGTGTTGCCCATGGGGTTCATCAACTCGGTCGCCATCGCTCAGCATGTGCATAGGAGAGTGATCAATCAAGCCTTGAAAGGGGATGCCCGTCTAGCTTCGGGGCATCAGGAAATCAGGCGAGATAGACCCTCTAGTAGTGCACCACACCTATTCCGAGTTTACCTGGACAACTACGATGAGCTTAAAAAGGTTGATCGAACTCTCGCAGAGATGTTGGCGGGCACTCCATCAGCGTGGACCCTGGCAGTGAGGCAGACGTATGAGACTCTAGGGCTGCCACGTCATCCGAAGAAGGCAGTGACTCAGGAGGTCAGAGCCGAGGTGCAAGGTGCATGGGTTGATGGAGAGCTGGGCAAGGCCGGTCCAAAAAAGGACAAGGTAATGAGGTATGTGAGGTTAGCGTGTGAGGCCGTGATTCAAGGCAAGGCGTCGCAGCGAGAGCTTCAGGTCATTGGGGGAGGCTTTGTATACATGGCTATGTTTAGGCGCCCTTTGCTAGCTGGCCTGAATGCGATTTGGAGACGAGTAGTAGAGTTGGGGAGTTTAAAGCCTACTCAGCGAGCGCCGCTGGGG